AATGGTTCAAGAAGATGATAGCATAAAATTAAAAAGATAGACAAGATGAATGGGTAAAACGCTGTCAGGTGGATTTCATTGTAAGCAAGTGAGAAGTTATCCATTTTAGACTGAAAAAGGACAGATTGAGGTATTTTCAGTCAATGTCCAAAGAGACTTGAGAGTTCAGATGCATAGATCTTTAAAATGCCATGGCCAGGTGTAGAAATTAATTAGGAATGCTAGTGGAATGCTGACCTTTATATCTAGAGGACAGGAACACAAGGATGCAGAAGGTATGCTGCAGCTGTAGAAAATCCTCAGTCACACGACACCAGGATGTAGTCCAACAGGTTTATTTAAAATCACAAGCTTTCGGAGTGCTGCTCCTTCATCAGGTGATGAAGGAAGAGCTCTCTGAAAGCTAATGACTTTAAATAAACCTGCTGGACTGGTGGCGTGTGACTTCTGATTTTGTCCACCCCAGCCCAATACTGGCATCTCCACATCGTAGAAAATCAATTTGACTACTGTGAGTGTATCTGGGCACCACATTTGAGGAAGTACATATTGGTCATGGAGAAAGTACAACATATGTTTATGAGAATGATGCCTTGGACTTCAGGAGTTAAGTTGTGAGGAGAGATTACACAACTAGGTCTACTTTCTGTGGAATTTAAAGTTTAATGGGTGATCTGATTGAAGTCTTCAAGATATTTATAGAAAAAAACAGGGTGGATAAAAATAAACTATTTCCACTTGTTAGTGATTCTTGTACAAGGGGCATAGTCTAAAAGTTAAGGGCAGACTGTTCAGGAGTGATGTTAGGAAGCACTTCTGAAGACAAAGGGTGATGGAGGTTTGGAACTCTCTTCAACAAATGACAGTTGATTTGAAATCTGAAATAGATAAGTTTTGTTGAGCAAAGGTATTAAGGGATATGGGCCAAAGGCATGTATATGGAGTTAGGCCACAGATCAGTCATGACCTCATTGAATGATGGAACAGGCGTGAAGGATTGAATGACCTACTTCTGTTCTTATGTACCTAAAAAGAGCATCAACACTTACTCTGGGCAAATGGTAGATGGGTAATAAAACTGACCTTTCTAACAACATGCACATCTGAGGAATTTGTTCAAAAAGGACAGAGAGGAATGCATAACTCTGGCATGAAAAGTTGAAGTCGCAAGTTGACGCTGTACTTGTGGACAGAAGTAAGGCATTCAGAAGAGAACTGATACTACCTACCTTTCATCTACAAGTTGTTGAGCAGAAGGCTTCTAAGCAGTAGATACTTTTGGTAGGAAGCAACAGAGGTAAATTACTAATTCATCCCAATTGAGTATTTGAGGTTCTCGATATTGGAACATGAGAACATAAATTTAAGGATATCACATATGAGTGCGGGAGACAAATATTCTTACTAATAAGTGTGAAATTCAAGTATAGCAATCAAGGTTTTTTTATAGATGCAACTTTACATATCAAGTACTGAATCTCCTGTGCAGCTTTGCTTATGATAAGACAGTTGATATATTGAATTATAATGATGCATATTTCTGCTGTGAAAATTAAATTAAGAATGGAAGAAAAGGGAAAGTGGAGAACTACAGACCAGTTAGTTTGACATCAGTAGTAGGGAAAATATTACAATCTGTTTTAAAGAATGTGATAAGTAATATGTAAAAAATGATTAAATTGTGCAGTCAATGTGAAATTGTGAAAATGAAATTATGTTTGACAAATTTGTTGGATATGACACCTGACATTCATAAGGGAGAACCAGTGCATGTGGTTAATTTGGATTTTCAGAAGGCTTTGATAAGATCCCACACAGGAGGCTACTAAATAAAATTAGGGCACGCGTGATTGGGAGAAAATACACTAGTAAGGATCAAAACTTGTTTAGCAGACAGAAAGAGAGAGTAGAAATAAACAAATCATTCTCAGAATGGCAGGCTGTTACTTATGTTGGAGCACAAAGACTAGAGCTAGATTCACAGCTATTCACAATCTGTATAAATGATTTGGATGTGAGGGACAATCATAATATTTCCAAATTTATTGATGATACTAAAATCAGTAGGATCATAAGTTGTGAGGAGGGATGCAAGGAGGCTTCAAGAGAAAATGAACAGGCTGAGTGAATAGACTAGAGCATATATAATGTGAATAAGTATGATGCTATTCACTTTGGTAGAAAGAGCATAAAAGCAGAATATTTCTTAAATGCTGAGGAGTTGGGAAGCACGGGTGTCCAAAGGAACCTAGGCTTCCTTATTGATGAATCACTAAAATTTGACATACAAGTGCAGAAATCTATTAAGAAGGTGAACACCGGGTTAACCAGCATCAAAAGGGGATTTGAGTGCAAGCAGTAAAGATGTCTTGTTGCAGTTTTATAGAGCTCTCACTTGGAGCATTGTGTCATCTTAGTTGCTTTATCTAAGAAGGGATATACTTGTCCTAGAAGGAGTGCAAGGGAGCATCAACTTAATCTCTGGGGTGTGTTGTGAGGAAAGATTGAGGGGACTGGGTCTATGTTCATTCGAGTTTTGAAGAATGGGGAGAGATCTCATTGAAATTTGCAAAATACAGGGAGTGGGAGGATGGATGTACATAAAATGTTTCCCTGGACTGGTGAGTCAAAAAACCTGTAACAATATCTCAGGGTAAGTGGTAGGCTATTTAAACTGAAATGACGAGGAATTTCTTCACTTTGGAATCCTCTAACCTGGAGGATTGTGGAAGTTCAATCATTGAGCATGTTTAATATGAAATGCAATAGATTTCTGCAGACGAATGATGTCAAGAGTTATGGAGGATATGCAGGAAAATGGCATTCAGATAGATGATCAACCATGATTGAGCTGAATGGCAGAACAGCCTCAATGGATTAAATGGCCTACTCTTGTTTCTATGTGGCCCTTTGCAGTCAAACAATTTAACTTCTGTTAATATGAGGGCAAGGTTAATTAGCGCTCAATTTCATTTTGAGGAAGTGAAATTATAAATTGTAAGCTTCTTGAAACTTTCAGGCTTCAGGCCAGAATTCTGCATGTTTTTCCTTTTTAAGTAAATGTATCGCCAAAGTCAGTCAGAAGTTGCAGATGTTTAGAACTTCAGTATGGAAAGGCATTTTATGATGTCACAAGCTTTGCAAGTGACTTGCCTTGTTCCTGATGAGAATTATGGAGGAATTTGTATACTGCTAGGTGATACAGACAATGTATATACTAGACACATCATTTTTATTGGTATGTTTTCTCTAATGAATTACTGAGGGTTCTGACCGAAAGTCAGAGAATACAATGTTTTATAAGGATGGAAGCATTATATTTAATAAAAACACAATGTATGATTTTTGCAGGCAAGTAAATTAACATTCCTTTAAGGTTGCAAAGTCTAATTTTGCTATTTAAACACTGGGAAATGCAGAGGACAATTAAGAGGCCTGCTACTGAATGAACCAATTAAGGCACTGCAGATGCTGGTTTCAATATTCTGTGCCCTTATCTTTAAACTTGTTTACAAGAAAGAACTTAATCTTGAGACATGCCACAAGAGGTTCAGGGTAACACTTAAGGTGTAATGGACTGGAATTGAATGCTATACTGTTACATAATTCAACAAGCTAGAGATTGATATGGTTTAGATGCTATATTTTATCCTAAAGGATATTGATAAATGTACCAAAGTTAAATCACAGTATGCACATTGATAAAAAATAAAACAATTTGACTTGCATTAACTAAGCTGAATCCACAAAGTGTAAATTTCATATGGAACATCTGCACTTTGTCAGATGCAGATGTTTTCCATACGACTATCAGTTCAACTACGTATTTAGAAACAAACGTTTTCTGACTATTGTAGTATTATATTTATATTCAGACTTGTGGCTTATTTCCTTGAATAGATCTATGAAAGTTTGAAAACAGCATATCACAGATATTTGGGACTACCTGGAGGTGTAGTAAAACTATCATCTAAAGAGCATTGTACTGTCTTTTTCCAGGCCGTATTGTCATTTAAAATCAAAATCCTTGACTGCATCACACACAATAGAAAGAAGTTTCTATCAGTGCACTTGAATGAAAGAGACGCTGCATCTCACTTTGAGGGCGAACAAATCTCTAGGTTGTTGAATACTATGAAGCAATGGAACTAACCATTATTGCGTATACATAATACATAGATAATAAAGTCCGTAAAGGAAACACGTTTCTCCAGTCGTGTCAATACACCGCTGTCTGCATCTTTCCTGCACTCTATCTATTTAAAGTAATGAAACAGTCAATAAAACTTTCGAAACTTGTTGAGTTTGTACAATGAAAAAGACACGTGATGGATTTGCATTATTTCTCCACTCAATTATGATTAGATTTCCATGTAGTTATCCTGCACTAATCTTTAGTGTTCATCTCGCACAATTCACTTGTTTGTAACATCATCTTCGGAAATATGTTTGACTATGTAATAGCATCAATGACGAGTTAACAAAAATTTGAAATTTAACAAATTAGAACATCCTTCCTCAAAAGAAAGTGGCCAATTGACCTCAAGGGTGCACTTGAATGTAAGGTGGTTGATAACTTTATTTCTGCCTCAATGACCTCGGAGATTAATCTCCAGAGTGGGGACAATACATTCCAGATCTGCTAATTGTACCCTGTACTTTAATGTTCAGTGTCGTCAGTAATTTTGCATGTGTCAAAAATCTCCACCGTGAAAAGTAAGGCGTTCTCATTGCAACACCTCTGGACAATTTAAATAATTTTTTTTGAAAAATTGCATGCAGTCGCTGGGAAGAAACTGACATTTGATAAGAGCAAAACAAGATGTTTTACAAAAAAAAGGCGTGCATCTCTCCCTCTCCCCCTCCTCTTCGCACGCCTCTAGTGAGTTTTCCCTGTCTTTGGTACGTTGCAACATTTAAGTAAGAGACGCCGGCTTTGACGCAGGGAGATCGTGTCTTTTTTTCCAAGAGGCAATTTTAAGTACGTCATTAATATGGCGCCAAAAGATTTTGAAGTATGAGCTATTTCGTTGCTAGGTCCTGTAGTGTACGCCCGTGCCAAAAAAAAGAAAAAAAATCTCTGGCTTTTCTGGAGGTAAATTTCCCAAAGTGAGTCTGGCTCGTCCTGAGATCTGAGGTCCGACCTCTCTCATCTTCTCTTTTATTTTTTTTTAACATTCAAATTATCCGGAAAGGGATCGTACTGCACATACACACAAAATAAAACCCAAGAAGGGGAAGATAAGAGAGAGAGAGAGAAATAAGTAGCAAAGCAAAAGAAAAAGAAACCCCACACAAGATGCAGTTTGCAAAACAAAAAAGAGAAAAAAATCCGGATCGGGGCGAAAGGATCTGAAACGCAACAGGACTGCGTTAAAGTGATCTGAAAAGGTGGGAATGAGCGAGAGAGCAGAGCAGAGCAGCGGAGCTGCAAACTGTGTGTGTATGTGTGTGTGTGTCTCTCTCTCAGTGTGTATGTGAGAGAGCGCCCATTGCATTTCATTGGCAGCCATCTCAGCCCTGTGTAACTGCATGTTTTTTTTAACAGCGAGGGAGGGAAGGGGAAGGGGAGGGGGCAGGACAGAGGGAGGGAGAGAGAGAGAGAGATTTAAATGTATTAATGGGCAATTGGATCGATGTGCGTTTCCTCCTGCGCTGCTTTTAACATATATCAGCACCATCGCATTCACATTACAACACCATCATCACCATCGTGGCCTGAGGACAGTCACCGCAAAAAAAAGAAGCATATAGATCCGAAGCTTAAGCAGGCAAAAAAAATTGCATGGTAATTATTATTGATCGTTTCTAAGTAGAGAGAGCTAAGTAACTGTTTGGATTTTTGGAAGGAGGGGGGTGTGGATACAGTGGGTTTGATCTGCACCCCACGCATACAAATTCCCTTTTTTTTTCCTCTCTACTTATTTTGGGGACCAGAAGTGCAAGGCTTAACTTTTTTTTCCTCTCTCTCCCCTGATATCATATCGCTGTTCCGTGTAACCAGTTACTGCAGTCCAGGACTCTTTAAAAAAAAATGTTTACATATTTTTGCACCCCAGGCTGGAAAGGAAGGAAGGGATGTGGTAGGGGTGCTTGCTGTTTCTTTTTTGAGAGAGATGTAGATTCTCGGGTGGGGGGGGGTGGAGTGTAAAGTGTGTGTGAGGGGCGGTGGGATGAACATTGAAATGTTTTATTTTCACAAAATGCATCGTCTTTATTGAGTTACATCATTTTGAATTGGAGTGATTGGGGACGCTGTGTCTGTGTGTGTGTGTTGGGACTACCGTTTGCAACGTAGGAGCTGTGTTTTTTTAAAAAAATAATACGTTTAATACATGCTCTCTCTCTGTGTACATGTAGGTTCCTGAGTGCAAGCTGCGCTGCTGACTCTAGGGGGAGTGGCTGTTGTTTATCCCGAATTCATTGCGCTCAGGTTCACCGGGGGAGGCGTGGCTCGTCCAATTTCAACCCCCCTCTCTCCACCACCCCCCCCCCCGCTTCCAGCAGCAACAATAACAACAACATCATCCACCCACCGAACAGAGAAAAGAGAGAAGGCAAAGCCAAAGGCAAATGAAAAAAAGTTGCTGAATTCTACAGGCAGGTATAACTTCCACAGCACGCATCAAAACTTGGTCAGCGCCGATTTCCCCCAACCCCATCCACGCTCCCATCCCCCTTTCTCATTCCCATTTCAAACTCTTTCCAACCCACCCCGTCTTTAAAAACTCCTCTGGATGCACAACTTTTTCTTCCCCCCCAAATGACAGATGCACACGTGTGGTTGCCTGATGCCGAGTGGCAATCACTTGACCTGTAGCTGCATCACGCACTGGGCGCAAACCCACAGACTGAGGAAGAGGAGGGAACGTTGACCTACATTAACTCTCCCTGTACTGGCAGCTTTTTATTTGGTTATGGGGGAGGGGCGTGTTGGACAACTTCCATCATCTTAATTTGCAAAATATGCAAGCAGTGAAACATCAGTGATGAAAATATTTTTTCCCCGGAACAGTGGGAAAGCCAATTGAAGGATTGAGAGCCTGATTATTCGCGTGCAAAACTAAATTGTACTCCAGGGGAATAGAAGGACCATCACAATGCAATACAATTTGTCTGTGAAGTGTCACTTTTTTTAATTGGAAGAGGAAGATCAAATGTCTAACTTGCAAATTTTTTTGACTATTTCGCACTGTGTCACCCACAGGCAAAATTAGAAGTGGTTGTAATTCTTCAGGAAATAATTTAATCATTTTGTCTTTATGATAAGAAAGCTTAGTGTTTTCACATGAGCTGTGTTTGCAAACAACTTGGGTTTTAAGCCAGTGAATTAAGTTTCTGAAGTTTATTTGCTATAGTCATAATATGCTTCAGGATTTGTGTCAACCTTTTGCTTTACAAAGTATATAAATGTGGAGAGGGAAATGTGACAGTTGCACTGTGGTTCCCCTCCCCCTTCCTTTGAACATCTTTTGGCTGTGCATTACTTTGCAAACTGGTGTTCTTGTGGTTTTTGTATTGTGTTCCTCCCTTGCTTCATTGCTTTGGTGAAGGGCAAAGACATTTTCATTAAAAACTGTGCCACATGTGAGTTAAAAGGAAGTGGAAACTGTAGAGGTCAGTATTATGTCTGAGATTACTTCAAGATGTGATATGCAAGTATTGTATATTGATGAGCTGTCTATAATAATCAGCTGCTCTATTCGCTACAAAGTCCTTTATTTGTTTATGAGCAGGAGGTTAAAAAGGGCACTTCTTTGTAGTGCTTGTACTCCTTGTCTCCCCGCTTTGATTTGAAATGAATTGTATTGGATTGATGATGTTTAGATAATGCATTAAGGGACATGGTAGCACAATGTGTAGGACTATTTAAATTCAAGTCCAATGCAAGTTTGATGTTTTGTAGATCTTTCTGAATTCAGTTATGTTGTTGTGGGGAATTGATACTGGAAAAAGCAAAAAAAAGGTGTCAAGGGCCCATGCCTGCAGAAAACAGAAGGTCCTTTGCTTATGCAAATACAGGACCTAATGCCTGTTTGTGACATTGTTATGTTGCCAAAGTGCAGCCTGCATTGGGCTGGCAATACTCTGGAGAATCAGGTTTACTTATAGACTTAGCAATGGGTCTCTTAAAGCACCAGTACAAGCTACCACTAAAATGTGACGCTTTATAAAAGTAGACTTCTTAATGTGCAGCTCGATACAAGGTGCTATATTCAAACAATGAGCAGTTGCTAGCAAAAGCTCACCTTCTCACCCCGGATTGCGACCACATCACCTTCCCCTGCAGCAACATTTCAACCTCACTGCCTGTAAGTGAATTTCTCTCCTAATATTGTTCCTGGGTGGTTTCTGCACACCTCCTAGTGGTGGATTTTAGACTAATATTATTGGAAGGCATGAAACACATAGTCCACCTGCTCTTATGCCCAAAATTAATCTTGACCGGAGGGGATTGAGAGGGGAAAATGCAACAAAATAGGATAATTTGTCCTCAGATAATGAGTTTATGATTGATATGAAAGTCCACATAGTAAGTGTGTACAGCTGTGGAAATCTATGGATTTTAAGCAAATCTTGCTTTCCGTGGACCATTTTGGAATTATAATCTGTGGATGAATTCAGCGCTGCCAGAGGAGCCTGTAAATGGAATTATCCAAAAATTAATTGTTAAAGCAGGTAGCTAAATCAAACTTGAATAAATCAACTGTAGTAGTGACGCTTGTACTCAAAATAAGGAATTAATTATGTGTTTACAGGTTAATTAATCCTTTTATGTGCAATGGCATCAAGACAGACACAACATTGTATAATGTTACTTACACAACTGCTCAGGCTTCTGAATGAATTAATCTTCAAATGTGGGTTACTCTGGTATGCTTGTATTTGTTGTTCATTCCTAGTAGTGTTGAGAAGTTCACATCGAGTCATCAGTTTATGTCTCTGATTCCCTGTGCTGGTGGTCCTTGAATGATGTTAGGTAGGGAATTCCAGGACATTGACTTAGTGACAATTATGATATAAATTACAAGGGTGAGTGGGCTGGAGGGAATCTTGGATATGGTTATAATGCTTATGAGGTATTGTTCTTTGTGGTGAACCAGGGATGGAAGTAATCCTGGTGATTTGAAGAGTGCATTCTATAGATTGTGATTGTTGCAATCATAGGCCACCAGTAATGGAATCACGAATGTTGAGCCCAGGAGAAAGGACACCACTGCCTTCTTGAACTGATGCAGCCCTTGGGATGTGGGGACACCAGTAGTACTGTTAGGAAGGAAGTTACAGGATTTTGAACCATGGACATTAAAGTAATTGTGATTATAGTTCCGAGTCAGTATGGTACATGGCTTGGAGAGGAACTTGCAGCTGCTGGTCTGGCCATGCTTCTGCTGCCCTCATTCTTTTAGGTGGTGGAGATTGCAGGTTCGGAACATGCTGTTGGAGGTATCTGGTGAGTAGCATCTTGCAGGTGATGCACGCCACTGCCACTGGTTGACATCAGCTGTGCTGTTCCTGGAGAAGTCATGAATGGAGCAGAACATTGTTGAATCATTGATACATGTCTCACTCCTGACATTGTGATGGAAAGCCTTTTGATGACACTTCTGCAAATGATGTGGCCTACAGCCTACCATCTTGAATAACTTTGGCAGTACTAAAGGCATCTTCCCATTCTCCTTTAATGTTATGCATGTTTCTCGTCTCTGAAGGATTTTACTTTAGCCCCTATTTACCAGTTCTGCTCAAACCCCTTGGTATATTATTTGCTTGAATGCTTCCTTGTTGGACGTGGGTTACTATTACTTCTTTTCTTACAATCAGCATCAAGACTGTAATGATGTCCAGAACTTAGCTGGCCAGCAACTGGTGAGTAGGTGGAACTATTGTTTACTCCTTCCATCAGGTGGAGTAGGCTGATAGGATAGTAATTAGTTGAATTATGTTTGTTTAGTTTCTTGTGTGTAGGACATAGCTGGTCAGTTTTCCATTGGCATTTACCTGATAGTGTCATAGCTAAAGTGTAACAGTTTAGCGATGTGAACAGTTAACTTTTGTGCCTGGGTCCTCAGTGCTGCTAGGCGGTGGCTGCAGTTACAGGAGGCACTTATTATCTTGCAGATCAGTTTTGCTCTGGATGCTTGTCGCCACCCTCGTTAAAATGCTTTCTTGATGTCCAGAGATCACTCTGAACTCTTGAGATCGTAAAATGATCGATGTGGCAGAATATACATGTTGAATATTTAGAATTAAATCAGCATAGGTCTTTTGTAAACTTAGACATAAGAAAGTACAAGATTGTTAACAAAAGATGGGTTTGGTGGTTATGGTATGGGGTGCAGGGGAATGCACAATGTTCTTAATAATCTGTTTTTCCTTTCAAACTAATTCCTTAGTTTAAAGCACTTGGTAATAGATGTTAACACATTATCCATACTGAGGACAGTGTGGAACTCTGATAAGCACCCTTAAGAAGAATCTGTTTGTTAGAAAATTCCACTAAAATTAAATTTGCTACCTTTCCTTAAGCAGCATCATACAAGAACAAAACTGAGACTTCACATTGATTTGTATGTGTCGTGATATCACCACAGGTTTTATTCTTTGAATTGCCTCAAGATGGGTTTTATCTCATCCCATAAGAAGTCTGTATTACTACATACCTAAACTTGAAAGTTTCCAACAAACCTCTAATCTCTTCAAGTTACAGTACTTCAGGGAAACAGTTTATAATGTGTGTAATTTTATTGAGAAAACTCAGCAGTGAGGAATTCTCTTCCTCTTCCTGTCCAGCATGCCATGGTCAAAGACACACTACAAAACATATACGCCAGTTTTCTGCTGGAACAGAAAGTTTTCTCTACTATGCCTCAATAATGGGGAAGATATCCGTTGCATTCTAGATGTGGCTTATAGGGAACTGCTTTAAGATTTTGTTGCACTTGACACACAAATGTTTTGCGCTTCTGTGATTTAAAGCTCTACTTCTGAGCACCTACCCATCATTGCTTTAAGATAATACTGCTACTTTTCACTTGCTATTTTTATGACTTATTTCGAGCAAGATTGACATTTTTTAAAAAATGATTTCGAGATAATTTTTGCACATACAAATTAGTTCACAACTACTGTAAACTCAAGTCACTTAGAGATATCAGTAAAGAATTGGAGGAGCAGTTCCAGCTGGATATGATTACAAGTCCACGGGTGGAAAAACATTGTGCAACCCACTACACTTCTCACTCTACAAAAGTGACGATTTCAAAAAGGCCAACTTAAAATCATGAGTATTTATAGTGCTGTAACTTGAATTTTTTTCAGACCTCAGTTTTGAATGAAGACAATGTGGTAACATTTCTGTTCATGTCTAGATTCCTTAACACTTGTGGATGCATTTGATTGGCTGGAAATGTTGTTAAAATTCGTAATACAAGATGTAGCTGTTGGGCAAATAATCTGGGAAAACAGACAAATTATTTGAGAAGACCAGAAGATTGTATCACAAGGTAAGCATTCCTTGTTGCTTTCTAGTTGTCTCTGATTATTCACTGGAATTTTTACTTTTTTGGAATGGTTCTCCTATTAATTCACTAATTGGGTGGATATCTCTGGAAGATTATATTACTAAAGTCTGATTTCCTTCATTACATGTATTCTTGAGTTTGTTGTCGTGCTGTCTCTCTGGCACTCTCTGGAGTGCACACCAAGCCTTTTAGGATGCTGACTTGCATTTGGACCCAGTTGCTAGACGTTTGTGTGGGAGTTCCCACAGAATGACCTTCCTTCCCTCTGTTCTGGGAGGTGCTTGATTTTGATTTGGTCTCAGCCAGTGACTGAGATTGGCAGCATACCATGTGTGTGTGTGTGTGAAACTGCTGTTTACTGTGTGCACCAGTGTTCTATTGCCCTAAAGTCCATTTGCTTTGTAGCAATGGCACATTGAATCAAAAGTTTTAAATAACAAACTGTGTAAAGGTTGTGTTTAAAAAGTCTGCAAAGTTTCTCTTTAAATTGTTAAGCTTTGATGAAATTTTATGTTGGGAAGTTTTAAGCATCGCAAATTGTGTTGAATGAAAGTGCATTCCCACCCTGTAACAAATGGGATAGTTAGATGGGTAAAAACCTGCAGTGTTGATGCCTTATCATTATTTTAAAAATATATTCCACAGAATATTGGCATCGCTGGTTAATCTTTTCAGTGGGCAGGAATTCACAACAGACAATGCTCAGTCCATTAATTCAGCTGTGGAGTACGCAAGTTCAGGGCTGATGAGGAGAGCTTGCTTTATGATGATGCGCTATGAGGTCTTGTGGGCATCCTAGGGAATGAAGCAAAACCTCTTATTGATCCGAAGGGGAAAGCACCACAAAAGAGAAAATGCAGCTAGTGAGGGGAGCAATTTATTCATAGGTTACTGAAGGCTATGCTTGTTCTTGGAAGGATGTGTAGATGAAAGTGCACTGTTGTTGGAAAGTACTCAGGTAAGCAATGAAAATCACTGTCATAGCTGCCACACTGATAGACATTGAAGCGATTATAAATTAGTTTACATTACCATGTTGTGGCAAGAGTGTATATAGCATTTGTAGAACTAATTATTCAAGGTGGTTGCTGGTGTGGGTCATGTTTGCCTGAATTGTTTCATATGTGTGTATTATTCATTCAGATTTAATTCCTAAAGCTGTAAGAATAAGCAAGAAGGAGATAATGAAGTTAAGTCATAGTCCAGGAAAGAGGAACTACTTACTAGGAGCTGAGGGCAATTATATTGCGCAGGTAGAATAAACTTTACAACAAATTGATTCTTCATTCCCATCTTCAGCTAGCACGTTTCTTTTTCTACATTTTTCAAGTCATTTTTATTCTGTGGTGCAGTATTTCTCTGTTCTCATCTCAAGTGACAATGATGTTATTTTTTGGCAGCAGACGTTATTCAGGAATTGCTCTTGTTTCAGGAGGGTGATGGGTACAAGACAATTAGAGTCTATTACCGAGTAAGAGGACATCATTATGTAATTCCTTGGGTGGTTTCAGGTGCAGTCTGGGAGATATTGAGGTTTATGTAAATGACGTAATTTGTGCAGTGTAAATATAGTAGCAGTAATTTCCATTTGCATAAGTTCAGGGCTTTGTTTATAATTTGCTATGAAGTGCGTGCTGTCATTGCAATAACATCAATAGCCCCCTCCAAACACTTTCTGCAGAAAGACCAAGAACTTAACAGGACCATCAAAGGCACTTCTGCAACCTGCACATTTCTCGAAGTAATTTGGAGGGCATCAGTGAGTTTGCAGGAAGGAACACAAGATGATTCACTGCTTAGGATTGAGGAGGAGAGAGTGGTAGTTACTGATGTAAGACTGGTTGTTTTGGAGCTTTGCAGAGTTACTTTATCATTTTGACATCAGATGTCCACTGATGAAACATAGGAACCTTTGCAAGCATGAACTGGTTACCAACCTACTTACTTCATTGAAACAATGAAACCTGGAATAAATAAGCGTTGTAAATTCCATCATTCATTGGACAGTGTTGTGTCTATAGGCTGCATTTGAGACATATGCAGTATTACTGACATCAGGAAGGAAGGGTGAACATCTTACGAGACTGATGGTTCTGATGATTTGCGATCTGTTGGCCAAGATGTATCAGTGACCCGTTACGGTAAGAGGCCACTTTTTTGGACAAATTCATTCATGGGATGCAGGTGTTGCTGCCTGGGCTAGCATTTATTGCCCATCCCTTACTGCTATTGAGAGAGTGGTGATGCAGTCCATTTTGTGTAGATACCTCTACACAGAGATGGAGGTCTCAGGTTTTGATCCAGCAACATTGAAAATATACTACCACATCTTCAATCAGGATGGTGAGGGGTTTGAAGGGGAACTTGCAGCTGGTGGTGTTCCTGTATATTTGCTGTTCTTACCCTTCTCGATAGTTGTGGTCTTGGGTTTGGTAGGAGCTGTCTAAGGACCTGCATTCTTGGGGAAATGCCAATGTTGTAGCTGTACTGGAACAGCTTGAATTGGGCTGCAGAAAATTCTTGAGTAAATGTTGCCAGTACTATTGCCAAATGTTGCTAAGGCCATAGCCTGTCCAATACCCAGTGCCTCCAGCCGCTTCCTACTCTCACATGAAGTGAATTGAATTGACTGATGATTGGTTGGGGCCCTCTGGTGGAGGCCGAGGTAGATCATCCACTTGACACTTCCAGCTGAAGATTTGTTGCGAATGCTTCAGGCACATCTTTTGCACTGATGTGCTGGGTTCCCCCATCATTGAGGATAGAGATATTTTTGGAGCCTACTCTTCCTCTAGTGAGTTTTTTAGTTGTCCATCATCATTCATAACTGGATGTGGCAGGACTGCAGAGCTTGGATTTGATATGTTGATGGTGTAATCACTTAGCTCAATCAGTGATTCGCTGCTTATGCTGTTTGACACACAAGCACACCTGTGTTGTAACTTCATCAGGGTGACATCCCATTTTGAGGTACACCTGACATGTCTTCCTGCACTTTTCATTCAACAGTGGTTCATCTCCTGGTTTGATGGAAATGGTAGAGTGGGGGAAATTGCAGGCCATGAGGTTAGATTATGGTTGAATATCATTCTGGCGCTGTTCGATGATGCTTTAGTTTTGAGTTGATAGATCTGTTTGAAGTTTGTGCTTTTTAATAAAATGGTGGTGCCACACAATATGATGGAAGAATATAGGAACAGGAGGAGGCCATTCAACACGTTGAGCCTGTCCTGTCATTCAGTACAATTGTGGCTGATTGAACACTTCAATGCCTTTACCCTTCAGTGTGAAAATGGGACTTTATGTTAGCATGTTATGCAATGATCACTCTTACGGATACTGTCAAGTACAGGTGCATCTGTGGCAGGTAGATCAGTGAGGACAAGGTCAAGTAGATTGTTCTGTCTTGTTGGTTCTCACCACATGCTGTATCCCCAGTCTAACAGCAATGTCATTTAAGACCTAAACAACTCACTCAGTAGTGGTGCTGCTGAGCCACTCTTAGTGATGGACATTAAGTCCTCACCCAGAGTACATCTGCGCCCTTGCTAACCTCTGTACATCATCTCAGTAGTTTTCAACATGGCCTTGTAGGTGATAATGAGCAGGAGGTTTCCTCGTTGCCCCACCTACCTCCATGTTTCAGAAGACCTTATGGGGAACGTAGTCAATGTCGAGGACTTCCAGGGTAACTCCCTCCCAGCTGGATACCACAGTGCAGCCACCTGTTCTATGTGTGACCTGCTGATGGCACAGGATGTACCCATGGAATCTGATGACGATGCCTGGGACATAATACCAAGTATGATTCAGTGAGTATGACTGGGTCAGGCAGTTGCCTTATTAGTCTGTGGAACAGCCCATCCAATTATGGCACATGCCTCCCCAGATGTTATTCAGGAGGACATTACAGCCTATGTTTGCCATCATCTTTTTTGCTGCCAGAGCCAGTGTCAGCTGGTCCGTCCAGTGTTGCTCCTTTGTTTGGACTTTGTAGTGATTTTGTACAACATACTAACTTCTTAGGCCATTTCAGATGGTGGTTAAAAGTCCACCACATTGCTGTGGGCTTGGAGTCAGATATAGAGCAGACTAGGTACGGATGGCAGATGTTTGTCAACTGGATGATTTTTGTTTTAATGACAATTAACAGTGGTTACATTGGTTGCCATTAGCCAAGCTCTCTAATTCTAGATTTTTTTCTTTATTGAATTCAAATTTCATCATCTGCCATTGTGTGATCCAAATCCACATCCCCACAACATTTGCCTGGAATTCTGGATTACTAGTTCAGTGATAGTCATCCGCCATTGCTTCCTGCTCATCTTAAGTTATGAGAGTCTTGTTGTCTAAGGGTAGAATTGAACCCAGGTCCCTGGTAATGTGAGGCAGCAGTGGTAATCATTTAGTCACCATGCCACCCAGATGCTGTTAAAATGTACCAGTTGGAGTTTGGGATACGTTAGTTAAGTGTGACGTTTGTGAAAACTCTGGTGTTTGATAGATGTCTGGGAGTATTCCAGAGATTGAACAGAACTGGGGTCATATTTCTAATGTTTTTGAGCAGATTTGTAGCTCGGGTTGTGGATTTTGTGGTTGGTTGGCTCGTCGAGCTGGTTCGTTGTTCCGCAGACGTTTCATTATCCTGTTGAGTAACATCATCAGTGCAGCCTCCGATGAAGTGCTGTTGTGTTTTCCCACCTGGTATTTAAACTCTGGTGTCCGTTGAGCTGGATTACCTCACTTCCGGTTTTCCTTTGCAGTGGAGTATATATGGGGTCTAGCTCTGTGTTTGTTGATGGCCGTCTTAGTGGAGAACCAGGCTTCTAGGATTTCCCATGTTTGTCTCTGCTTGGCCTGTCCCAGGATCCTGGTGTTGTCCCAATCGAACTGGTGGTTTTCCTTATCCATGTGGGGTCGTATTTATTCACGCTAACATAAAATCTTATATAGGTTGTAGCACACTTTAGGCATTGACCAGC